TGGATGGCGCCCCCGGCTTCGGTGCGCCCCCCCGCATTGCGGGGGTTGCGGGGGTGAGATTTACGCCACTGTTGATTACGTACATCAGACCGTTAATCATTCAGTTCATTTTGTTGATACTAAATCCGGTGTACATACGCAAAATATTGAGCGGTTATGACGCGATATGCGTTCTGCTTTATCGCGATTTGGTGTACGAGAAGAACACTACAAACATTATTTAGCAGAATTTATATTTAAAAAACGATGCGATTTTAATGAGAGAATACCGCAATTTTTTCGATTAATGGCTTCTCTATATTCATTAAATAATGTATCGTCAAGTAATGAATAAAATGAGTAAAAATGTACATTGAATAAAATGAATAAATATTAGCAGCAACGGAAGCTTTTATAACCATTTTAATACCATTATGCACGTAAATAGTACGCAGAATATACGCAGAAATAGTACGTTATTTTTAAATCTTTTTTGGTTAATAACTATATAACGAAGGATGAGCGACGGGAATGGTCAATGACCTTGACCTTCTTGAGGGTCAAGGTCAAGGTCACTCGGAAGTCATTTGAGACTGACTGTGTAATTCGAAATATTTACTAAAAATATTTACGATACAAAAATTATACGATTTAATCGATAATACAGGAGGCTTTAGTGATCCTTAAGGTGATGCTGGACCCGCCTGTTTTATCATTACTTACTTAGTTAAAGACTCGTTTCTCTTAATTGCATTTACGGATGGAAAAATCCTTCTGCATAATTAAAGTATCGACAACAATGAATTGCGCTAGCTACATTTCAATACGAAAAACGGAAGAAAATTAAAAACTTACAGTTTCGTTATCGGCTTCTGCAGTCGACTCGACACATTATGTGAGAAGCCGATAACGAAACTGTAAATTTTTTTTCCGTTTTTCGTATTGAAATGTAGCTAGCGCGATTCATTGTTGTCGATACTTTAATTATGCAGAAGGATTTTTCCATCCGTAAATGCAATTAAGAGAAACGAGTCTTTAACTAAGTAAATAATGATAAAACAGGCGGGTCCAGCATCACCTTAAAGAGATGCCGGAGGTCTTATTTCATCGATAAAGCTTGATTAATTTTCCATGACTCATTACTCTTAATTGCAGGGCTGGGTAGTAACTAGTTAAAACGTTAAAAGTTAAAAAGTTAATAACTTTTAACTTAACTTAGTTAATTTTAAATGCGTTAAATTTTAACTTAACTAAGTTACTTTTAAACGGTAACTTTTTAACTATTTTTTAAGTTAAAAATTTTTTTATCTCTTTCAAATATCTTAGAAAAATATTAAGATATAACAAGATTCTAAGACCGGAATTTATAGTCTAAATCTCAAGAAATGTCTTAAGATGCTAATACGGTGCTCTGATTGGTTCATGCACTAGTTTAATATTTTCATTGATAGTTTATTTTTAACTTAAAATGTCGACAACAACTGACACCTACAATTTAATACGAAAAATGAAAGAAAATTAAAGACTTATAGTTTTGTCATCAGCTTTTGCAATCGACTCGTCACAATATGTGCTGCATATAAGAATTCTTGCACATTTAAAATATGAATAGCTATCAGTCTACAAAACCTTCAAAGAACAATATTATGCTTGTAGAAACAATTAAGGTAGGGGCTTTAGAATTAGAGTAAAGAGTCATGAACATTCGTTTGAACACTACAAGTGAAGCTATGAAACCGAGCAGAAATTGTGTCTAACAGTATAGGTATTCGATCTTGCAAGAGATGGCATTGCAATATATTAGATAAGGACAGGTGAATGCGCTTGAGTGAGACATAAATACACAATGCTATATATGGTCTGTATTCTGTTCCTGCACTGTGGACTGCACTAGAATTCTCTTTCTTGATTTCAACAAATATCAAACATATGCATGTATCGTCACTTTAAGTTCCAAAAGTGTACACTAGTTTAGCCACAGAAAACAAACCTCTTATGTAACATAAGAAATAAATGAAAGATGTCGGTATTATCAAATTCGAAATTCAAAAAGTATATACTATCGACCTCGATCAAGTTGGGCCGTCAGTCCAGCATCACCTCAAAGTTTGTATGGAAAATCCGTAGATATCCTGTATAGTCATTTCGTTATGTAGAAAAAAGTACTACTTAAGCATCAAATACACTTCTTATTTTAGTAAATGATAAATGCTGAAATTTTCACACAAATGTTACAATTACTGAAATGCACCATGTTATAAAATATAAATTATAAGTTATCTTTTAAGGGGATGCTAAAGTCGTCCTGTTTTATCACGATTCTATTTGAGGAGAAAGATCCGAATTGGCTTTACGGATTGCAAAATCCTTTCACAGAATAAAAGTACGCACGAAAAGGTATACAGCAAACCCTGATTTCACGAGTAAATCGGAAAAAAATGCACTTTTTCTGACATGTACAGCTGTCACTTGAGGTTAACATTCACTTAAATTTAAATATAAAAGTTTTAGAGATCGCAAATTGCAAATAAGCGTCTTGCAGTATTGAGATGACTTGTACGAACAATCCTGAGTTTGCGGAACCAAGATTAAATGCGTAGAAAAAAATATTTCTTTTCAAATAGAAATCACGATCTATGCGAGGATCGGAACGTCAACAGAACAGAAATTGCGTTTAGAAGTAGTTGCGCCGTCGGCCGCCGTCTTGAAATAGATGGCGTTGTAGAGCATCGGTAAAAATAGGTGTTGAACGTATGATCCTACTTTGCCAGAAAAAGTGAATTTTTTAATTTTTTTCCGATTTTCTCGTGAAATCAGGGTTTGTTGTATACCTTTTCATGCGTACTTTTATACTGTGAAAGGATTTTGCAATCCGTAAAGCCAATTCGGATCTTTCTCCTCAAATAGAATCATGGTAAAAACAGCTGATTTAGCATCGCCTTAAGTTATCTTATAAGAATGTATAAAATAACACAAACCTATGCTAGTTTGGTTGACGACTCATGAATTAATACAAATTAATGAATAAATTAAAACAAATATGACAGGTAATGTGAGTCAACCGCTGGACATAACTTGCGAATAATTTTACATATATACTAAGAAGCTAAGCAACCTTGATTTCGATGACGTTTATAAATTTGCTTATCGTACGTTTCGATTCTTGTTTTGAGTCATTTTCAGCGCATATTGTAATAAAATATAATAGTTCGAACATTCATACTCCTAAAATTATAGACACAACAATCATGAGAAGAGCCCCATATGGGAAATATCAACCATATGGGAAAAATATCAACGATTTACGTCAAAAAATTGTACAGGAATGTAAAGCTATTCCAGCAAATACTTTCCAAATGTTCATTCAGAGTTCCAGAATCGCCTTTATTATTGTTTAGCAAAAAACGGAGAACATTTTGAACATTTGTTATAATAAATGATGATATTTTATACAGTAACTATGCCTTGCTATTTTCTTAAATATCTCCTAAAATAGTGATCGAACAAAAAAATGTTTCCTACAGAAGTTACTTATTTTTTTACGTAGAATAAAATTCTGTAACAAAAAATATACATTTCCATTTAAAAAAATGAATTTGACCTTCAAATTACGTTGAAAACGCCCTCCAAATAAGAAATTGAGTGTTATTCTCTTTCCCTCTCGAAATCATGGAATAAGTTTTTATCTTTTTTTTGTATCCTTTACATTTTTCGAGATAATCAGCTGGAAAGTTTTCAAATGAACACCCTGTATATAAAATTATTCGCAAATTATATCCAGCGGTTGACTCACATTACTTGTCACATTTGGGTAAATATATAGAATAGGGGAGCCTCCCCCGATGATCTTGACCTTGACATATGTTGTCAAGGTCATGACCCTGAGTAACCTCCCGCAGGTTTTAGGTGGCGGTCACAGTCCGTTAAAAAGTTATTAACAAAAAAAGTTTCAAAATTAACGTATCATTTCTGCCATATATGTATTATAACAAGTACTATTTTACATCTCCTTCTGTTTAGAAACGTTAAACTTTCCACGCGAAGTAACTCTCACCTCCCCCAACCCCCTGCGAAGGGGCATACGACTTCCACGATTGTACTGTTGCTATGATTGTACTGTCGGGGCAGACCTCTGTCGACGGTG